AAAAATCCCTGAGACAGGGTCTACAGGTAAAGAAGTACCGCAGCTGCAGGAGGGGCTGGGACATCACGCAGGTCATGCAGCAGAAAAAAGGGGGGGATGCAAAACGCTCAGTAGAAAAGACTTGCAACTAATAAGGAACTTCTGGTTTCCTGAAAGAGAGAAGTGGGGAATGACTCCAGCATGCGTTCATGCAGGGGGACTCCTACGTTACAAGCTACAAGGGACTCTGGAGGTGATCAGCTCCAAGCCTTCAGACATACTGCCACCTTGTTCTTGTTGGAACAGACTCATCTGTAGGGCCACACAAACATTTCATTTTTTAAATGTGGCAAGCTGCATAGAGTTGCAGGAATTAAAAAAAAAAAAAAAATATTTAAGCATGACGTTCCATCTCTTTTCCTACCTCAAAATGCTCTGCCACATGAATCTGCTCTCAAACAATGAGTGGAAGTACAGACATTTCCAGAAAGAACATTTAATATGCATTTGTTGGCCAAGCAGCATTGCCTCCTTCTCCACTTATTTCTACAAATACATGCCCTCTACTGCAGAGGGTTGTGACAACCCAAGGGCAAATTTTTGGAGGCCATTTGTTAAAATGCTGGCAACGAGCAGTGGCATTGTGCATGCTGAGCTCCCGCTTTACCGAGGTGGGGGAGCCAGAGCCTGGGTCTGTGATGATGCCTCAGAGATGAGATGGAGCTGCTTCTGCCCATTCCTCTGGAGTCTCTACCAAGAATTACTGGAGAGTGCAAAGCAGCCCCTTAAAAACGCTTCCATCTTTACTCCAGTCAGCATTGACCCTTCGAAGTTGCTCAGCTGAAGTTACTGGCTACGTTCGCTATTATTGTCTTCCGTAATGGAGGCAACATAGAATCATAGCATAGAATCATAGAATGCTTTGGGATGGAAGGAACCTTTAAAGGTCATCTAGTCCAACCCCCCTGCAATGGGCAGGGACATCTACAACTCAATCAGGTTGCTCAGAGCCCCATCCAGCCTGACCTTGAATGTTTCCAAGGATGGGGGATCTACCACCTCTCTGGGCAACCCGTTCCAGTGTTTCACCACCTTCATCATGAAAAATTTTTTCCTTGTGTTCAGTCTAAATCCACCCTCCTTTAATTTAAAACCATTACCCCTTGTCCTGTTGCAGCAGGCCTTGCTAAAAAGACTATCCCCATGAACACGCAGGCTGCAGCCACACTCAAGCGGAGCTTCTGTGTGCCTCCTGCTGCATGACAGGCCGGTCCTGGCACTGGGAGCTGGGAGAGAGAAGACGTCTGAAAAGAGACAAGAGACAGGAGAAACCTAAGAAAGAGAAAGAGAAGAGGACGTAGATGGTGAGGAATGGAGATGGATTTGGGTTTTTTCAAGCTTGCCCCACTGTCAAGTTTTCCCAAGCACGGGTCATTAGACCCTTCCAGTACTGCTTCCTGGGAAAAAGCACACATGGGAAGTGGCTCACCTTTGAGAGCCAGGCTGCCCGCACCAGGCATTTGATGTTTTTTTAAAAACACAATCTTGAGTGAAAATATTTGCAATATTTTGTCTGCAAAGTTAATCTACCATTCTTATCGCTTGACAGTTTTTGCCCTATTACAGTGGATCCAAAGAGTCTTCTTTGGTTTACAGAAGTAGTTCTTGATGGATTTAAATTTCAGATAGCTCTTTCTGCAGAAGCCCGAGCGCTACGGGGAAAGTTATGCAGCTAGGGAAGAGTGGAGCTGCTTCCTGTGTGTGCCGGAAACTCCTGGTGATTACAACAAGCACTGCAGATGCGCAGCTCCCTCAGATTAATTTGTTCTGATGCAGGCCTACAAACATGAAATTTCCTGATTTATGAGTTGTTCACGACCACAGGGTTTTCATGTCATGGCTGGGGTTAGGACCTCCTTCAGGTCATACATGGAGCTGTCTTTCACGGGAAGATGTAGCACACCAGCTGTGCAGCCCAAGAGCTGTTCGGGACAGCAAGCAGCTCAAGGGCTGGCAGCTTGCAACAAACAGCCACCGTGCCATCTGCGGTAGCTGTCACGGAGCTGCCCCGCAGGCAAAACCAAAAATCTGGGTACCTGTGGGGGTTTGTTTCTCCCCCGTCCCCTCCTCCCAACACCAGTGGCCATCTAACAGCAAGGGCAGTGCAAAAACTGAGGGCACCAGGAAATAATTATTTGTGCATTTTCAACACTGTAGTGTGGTTAATCTAGGCTTCCTTTTCAATGCTGTCTCGTGAAGAAAAGGGACAGAAAGTTTCTCTCAGAGAGGTACTGATATTTTCTTTGTCTTTCAGGTCTTTTAAATTAGGTCAGTTTACAAAGACCAGCTTGGCTGTTTAGCACTTTTTGTATGACAATCTCAAAGCAATTGATATTCAATTAATTCACAACCTTGCTCTGATTTTGGATTTGTTATTCCCATTTTCACTGTAAACACTGAGGCAGAGAAAAGTTCAATCATCTGCCAAATACTGCGCAATACAGCAGTAGCAGAACTGAGAACAAGGACTTGGCATGCTGGATACACCCCTGACAGCTTCCTCAAGCCGAACAAGCAAAACCTGAGGGTTGAGGCAATTCACACTCTCGGGAGGATTTCAGCTGACGTCCGAAGCCTTCTGAGCATGTACAGGGAGGGCTGATTTGCCCACTTTCACACAGGGTTTTGCAAACCTCCTCACACCTTACTTTTGCTACCCTTGTGTGTGGGAATCTAGAACAGGACTAAAAGGGGCCAGATAATAGAAGTTAAAGCTGGAAAAAAGGGACAAATTTGATTAATACCTTCTTTCACACACTACTTGTTTCTAGCTCTTCAGTAGATGAGTTAAGCAGCTCATAACATCCTTAAGAATGCCCCTATGAGCTCCGGTCCTATGAAGCCAAGTTAGGAAGAGGTGTCTAAAGGGACAGAGAAGTTGTATTTCTGAGTATCAGTTTAACAAAACCAAGCTGAATTACCACCACCTCTTCTCTGTGAACAGGTCGGGGTGCGGGTTTAAATCAAGGACCTGTTAAGGGCAGGAGAGGAAGACAGAAGTTTCAGCAGCTTGAACTCACCTCTTGAGTTTCTCCTGATGTCTAAAAAAGACAGCGGGAGCTTCCCTGTTGCACCCTCTGTTGCATATGAGCTCCAGATGCGTGCATGCTATTTCCAGAGTCAGAAGATACAGATGTCATTAAATATGCTGGTGATCTGCTCCAGTCTATTGAAATTTTTTTATCTAAGATCAACACCCAAAAAAAGTATTTGAAGACTCAGCATGAAAAGGGGAAACAACTGCAGTGAAAGCTATAGTTCCCATATTACCAAAACAAGGTGCAGGGCACAGATTATACCCAGTATCATGAGCCAAAAGTCCTGACAATTGATTCGGGAGATTTTGCAGGACCTCTGGAAGAAGGAAGCAACGTTCCAACATGGTGTTTTCTTCTCACATGATAGTAGGGATATGAAGTAGCTTTTTAAGACCCAGTCAGTTTTCCTTTTATAGCTGCCTATTTATACACTCCAAATTCAGTCACAGCTTCCACTGTACTGATTACTATAGTGCTCATTTCCTCATTCTGAATTGCACATGCATTTCTTTTCTCATTTTTTATTCTCTCCTTGTTAGATCTATTAGCCTTGCATTAACTCCACCCCGTTGCTTAGCCTCTCCTAGGTTCCCTTTCTAGGGGCATTTGTCTCATTGACAACTAAGTAATCAACAGTTCAGTTATTGTACTTTAATAAAATAAACATTTTAAGGAAAGCTTTCCATCTTTGTTCATTTTTAAATGCATGAAGAATAGATTCAACACAGTATTTGGGCAGTGGTTCAGTATCATTCAAGTGATACTGAAAACATCCTCCTCCACTCCAGACAGACCATGAAAAATAAGAACTCTTAAAACTCACCATCCTTTCTACAGTACCATTTACTTACTATGTTAGTGAGTGCCTAATGGCCACTGCTCCTTTTTGCTTACAGCATATATTATCAAGTTCACTGACCTGTAAATCATCTGAAGACTGAAATCCAACTTAAAGTCTTCCCGTTTGCACTAGGCATAGGTTGTGTAGCAAACTTTTAGACACTAAAAATGCTTCTAAATTCACAATGCACTTAGTCCAAAACTCCTGAAGTTAATATTTCTGCGCTTGGATTGTTAACGTTTGCTAAAAAAATGAAACATTCTTCAGCTGACTAAAAGCTTCACATCCTTAGAACGTAAAATCTAAATATAAATGTGGTGGGCGTATGTGGATCTTTTCTCTCTGAGGAGGCTCTGTTACGAATTTCCAATGTTTTACGCCACCACCAAGCCTCCGCTAAGTCGTGACACCTGTTCAGAATTTTCAGCTTCTTAACCCCTTATTACACTTCCTACCATTCCCAGCAGAAGTGCAGGAAGTGGAACGGAGTTCTGTCGTCCCAGGCTTGCTGTGTTAATTCTCAATGGCTCCTCGGTGTCTTTTGGTATTTTACATTAATAGCCACCTTAAGGACAACTAACTAAATGGAAGGACTTGCTTCTCATAACTGATGCCAGTAGATGCTCTGGTTATCAAGCAGACCCTGGAAAGAAAACCTACAAATTCCACAGGAGGAACAGTAAAAATAATACTGTTAATAATAAATATTATTACTGATAATAATAAATAGTCTGTGCCAAAACAAAACAGCAAACTCTAATGTACTGCAGCTTTTAAGTAACATTATGCTAAATGCATTCTTATCATTCACATTAATAATGATTCGCTACTCTTAGGTTTGATATATTTAGCAAACATTAGCAGTGCACAATGCTAGTGAATGAAAATTCTTTTAGCATCAGTATGCAGCCACTCTTTCTAACATTTCTGCAAAAAGCAAACCATAAGGATATCTCCTAGTTAAAAGCCAATATACTCTGTTGAGACAGAATGCCTCCATAAGAAAACCTGTTTCAAAAGACTCTTTTTCATTATAAACCACAGATATGACTCAGATTAATCACAATAAGAATTTTGACCGGATTTATTCACACAAATCAATCCAAATTCATTTCAGATCCAAAATAAATGCTATTACAAGGATACTAGCAAATTTTTCCAGGTACTAGAGAATCTTGTATAAATGTATTTGTTCAAGTGCTTCTCTGTCAACATCCTTTTCCATATACACATCATAGTTTAGCTGCATCTCTTCGACCCATTGGCTGAGCTGTATATCTGTCTGAAACAATGAAAACATCCTTAAATTAACACAACGTTGAGAAACACAGCAGGAGTTTCAAGGTCAGTACAACATTAAGAAGGCAAGACATAATAAGAGAGATTAGTCATTCCAAATTATGCAGCAATGACAAATTCATTTCTGGAAATGCCATTTAACTTAAATAGGAGAGAATAAAGATAACTTTTGCAAATTATCTCAGTCAATAGTCTAGATATTTGCTAGCATGTTACAACTGCTTCTCTGTATGCATTTGCATAAGCCTCAAGCACCCTGATCAGAGGGCAACATTCTGACAGAAGTGTTGAGGGAGCAGCTAACTGTACCATGGAAGAATCACAGGTACTTTCTTGTTTTACACCCAGGGAGTATTGTATGAAGGCTACACAGGGCTTCTCAGCTGCTGTGTAACTACTGCCTACTCCAAGAAAAGGTCAAGTGACAGCATTGCTACTCCTGGGGCTGAGGATCTATTTCAGCCAGCAGCATACAGGCAATAAGTGATTCAGTTTCTCTAAAGCAGACTACTGTGGCCAGCAAGCCACTGTATAAACAACCTTGTCATGTATGATCAGCGTTTCATTTCCTAACTAAAGCCAGCCCACATAATTTGTCTAGGCATCATACACGTAACAACTGTAATCTACCGATGACCCATGGCAGAATGGACACAGAGCAGAGGTTGGTCCATCGGAAGTGGTTACTGCTTGGGGTACAGCAGCAACAGCACAGGGCGTTCAACATCTTTGAAAGTTGCGCTGTCGACATGTTTGTTTCCAACTGCAATTTAAAGCCATGTCACCAATCCAAGGCACCTGATGGTAATCACTTGGCTAGTTGGGAGACCACATCTCTCCCTAATCTGTACTTCTAACAGCTCATACTGGCATATTATGAGTCATTTTCCTTGCTGACAGCAGGTCAGAAGACAAGAGTATCCTCAGGGATGGTCCTTCTTTAATATGTCCCTTTCTCCCACTGGCCTAACAAAACAGTTTGTCATGTTTCAAGGCAATGTGCAAATGTAGAGCTAAATAGAGAAAACATTTCAAGGTTTTGCCTCTAGAAGTTTATAAATACATCTGTACTTCTGAGGTTCTACCCCTCTACCTGGAAGAAGTCTGATGGAAGTGGATATCACAAAACTTACTCATGTCATAATATGGCTTTGCTAACGTTCTGTGGGTTTTTTTTAACCTCACAGTTAAGGTATTGTTATTAACACACATGATAATACAATGATTCATGCAGCCTACTGATATAGGCCGGGATTTCCATTTTACAGGTGGGGACAATCAAAGTACAGGAAGATGTGTTGCTGGTCAACCCAGAAACAGAATCCAGAGTCCTACATCTTTTAATCTACACATAAAATTACATATCCTTCCTCACAGCAATACTGGCAAGCAGCTAACCTCAACTACAGAACTGCCACTTTCACAGAAAGCGACAAAATGTGTTGGCTAAAACTGGCTGAGGAAACTTACCTGGAGCTTTGAGAGCGATTCTCTAAGGCTTGGAACTGTCACTAATAAGGACCCTCTTTTTCTTACATTACAAGCGATAAATTCCCAAGCTCTGAAACATATTTAAAAGTAGGTCACCAATTTTCAGGAAATAAACCACAGTTGATATAAAATGAATCTAACACTTTTACAGTTTAGTGTCCAGAGGTAGACTAAGCTTAAAGACTTGCTATACATGCTTATCAGTCACTATCAATATTTAAGCAAATATCTTTGTATGAACAAAATCAAGCTTTGTATTAAAAACAGAGGGAATATATGGTCTTACAATGTTACATTTTGTAACTTTTTAACTCTGATACATACATGCATGTCATTTTGCACTGTCAACACCTTCACTTTGGACTAGGATTAAAGAAAGATCGACATTTGTTCCCTTTAAACTTTTAGTTTTGAAGAAAATCCAGTCTCTGAGTGCACTGTTTTATTAAGCTTAACAACAAGCTGCTCTTTACATACATACTTTGCAGTCGTGACAAAATACTTCTCTTAAGACATTAGCAATCGGAGTATTTAAATATAGCCCCCAGCATTCCTTTTTTCTGATTTTGCAAGTCAGATCATTTCTCACAGCACAGCAATTCAGACTAAAAAGAATTTAATTTCCAGCATTCTTCAAATGTCATTTGTCTTCATGGTACTAATGCCACATTAAACCACTACCCCTGAGTTCTTCAAGAATCAAATGAATTCTCAGTCATGTGCCTAGAAACAAATCTCCTGGCAATCTGAAACACCCACTACCCTTCACCCATCCACTCTGTGCCTCTCTGGTTGACATCACCACTTGGTATCAAGGGCAGTAAGACAAGCCTTAGCTGAAACTGCTAGCGAATGTCAGACTGTTGACTGGGGTGGTGGAGACACAGGCACCCTTTCTTTTTGACTGACTGTTCTAAAGGCACAGTAACTTTGGACAGTAAAGTTATTTACACTTTAAACTGATACTGCTGCATTAGCAAAAGCTCATCTGTGAGTGTCTTGTACCTGAAAGAGAAGAACCTTAGCCACACGTTTGTTTGCTACCACATTCTTATGAAGATACATTAGAAATATCATTAATAGCCATGTTTTGCAGTGCATCTCTATTAAAGTTCTGACATCCACAAGTCAGTGACCTGTCTTCTTTCTGAAGATCAAGCTTTATGCTGATATAGTAATTTCAGATCCTTTAACAGCAAGATACTATTTTAACAGATCAGTGCAAGGATTCAGGGCAAGCTTTGGGTAAACAAAGCAGCAGTGTTTAGTGGGTTTAACAACAAGCAACTGCCATAACACCTTTGCAGTTAAGTATAACAATTAAGTGTAGGCAGTTTAAAACAATTTCCTTATGTGATTTATGCATGTGACTTCAAAAAGCACAACCTTAAGGTTTTCCATAACTCACAAGGTTACACACACATTGCCAAAGAAATAGATTACTTGTTCGGACACATAGCTTACCTGGCCTGTTCCTGTCTGTCAAGAAAATATTCAAAGACATTATTCATTACAACAACATCAGCCTTCTGAAGAAGTGAAGCCTGAGTACAGATGTCTGCGTGAACCACCTGAAGGAGAAAAATTTCACAAGGCATAAATTAATTTAAGAGACAAATACAGCTTTCAAGTTGCCATGAAGCACGTCAACATAAAACAGCACCTGCTACCACCATTTTGAACCAGTCACAAAAACGGGTATTTCACTGGCTTCATAGTAGATAAAACTGAAGTAAATAACCAGAATAAGCTTTAAAAAATGAAAAAAAAAAAAATCAGATGTATCTCCTCTAATTAAAATACTCAATTCATTACATTAAGTGAAATAAACTACATCTGACTTTTGGTCTAGAACACTGTGTGCCATAAAAGAGGAGATGATGTATGTGATGGCTGTTACATTTCACTTACGTATAATTTTATCACAAATGCTCATTGATTTCAGGAAAGAAGCTAAGCTAGCTAAAGCTTTTTTGAGGATATTAGAAGGCATCTCGCAGACTCAGTGGGTTACTAACGGATTATAGCTAGAAAAGACACTGCAGACCCAGGTTTGACAGCTGAATTCTCACGCCATATATTGGGACTGGGAATGCTGGAAAGGCAGGATGCTCAGTGGCACTGGAGGACAGCAAGTGCTTTACCTTACTGAACAACTGCCTCTCCAGTCAGCATAGGAGCAGGTTTGATTTCGTCTACCTTCACCTACCAAAAAGGTTATTAGCACACCATGTCATTTTCAAACAGGTGAGATTATAGTGACAGGAGAATATGGATGCTCATTAACACTCTGACAAGATGTGTTTGATTTCTTCTTAAACACGGAGAAATACATCACATCCTAAATCTGAGGAGAAACATAAATTGGAACATCTTTTGAAGGGAAAAGGGAGAGAAAGCCAACCTGAATATTACTTGCATTCCACAAATTTTTTTGAAAGTGCATCCCTATATGTTGAAAATGGACAAAATCTGAACTTCTTTTCCTTCCTGTGTGACCTATTACTAGGTTGTGCTGGGAATATACTAACCTGATGGATTCAACATTCACATTTTGTCAAATCCTTCCAATATTGTAAAAAGGAATTCTTAATTCTCACAGGAAAGAGGAATGTTTTTACAGAAGATTAAAAGCACTTATCTGTTGAAAAACATTTTGCCCACTTAACAATATATCAGTACTTGTTGGGAGGGTAAATTATGTATTCCTCCTCATAACAAACATGCAAAGCATGCTGTTCTGATTGACAGAGGAAACAGATACTACCACCCCTGCAACTTGTAAGGGTTCAAGTGAGGAACAGATGACGAATTGCCACAGTTTATGACTCCAGTTCATGCTATCAGAATGCATTATAGCAATTGTAATTACAGACAAATATTTCAGTATCAGTAATAACAGAAACAAAACTCGACCATTCATAAAAAATTAGGCATAACAGCATTTCATCTTTGAGAGCTATATTCCATGGGTTCTCTGGAAGTGCTCCAACTCTAACAAACAGCTTTATCTCCTTAAACACATGCCAAGTTGTTCACCACTACCTGTAGTGAGTGGAACGGAAGCAACTCTGTTCTTGTACCTTACCCAGAACTGGCAGGTTAGTGTTTGAAGGCTCTATCTCATTGAGAAACAGGGACAGTTTAGTTGTCAGAATGACTGGTCAAATGTCTACTTTCACCTCTAGTGTGTGGACATCTGAACTATTTATCCACTAGTTCATGAAAGTTAGAGCTTTTTAGGACATTTAAGATTGGCAATAATTTATCTTAAAACAGTGCACTGTAAACTGTAGCAGTACAGGAGCTGACTAAGAAGAAGTTCAAGCATTCAGGCAGCAGAGGAAAAAGACAGACCAGTCAGGCCACCACCAGCAGTCCTATATACAGTAGATCCTGGTTGTCAACTCATGTCCTCTGCATAAGGCCACTGCTAACTGTAGATTAAAATGAAAGACCATAAACTGGGGTGGTAGAGATATTATGGATATAGGCCTGACTGCTGCCCTGTTACACAGGCAACAGCCTCCTGCAGTGGGGCAGGACAGACAGCTACTGGCAAAACATGCCTCAGCTAGATCTGCCAGAACTCATGTACCAGAACCCAGATTTACCTAGACTGTAGGTGGGATTTGCATCACTGTTTCTGAAGCTAAGGAGACATTTTGCTTTACTCTCTTATTTTCAAGGGGCAAAAATAACAAAACCACAGAATTTCTGCACAAAAAAACCTAAGCAGCAGTCCTTTAATCCAAACACAAGTGACTGGTGGACTGCTCCACCAGTGGACTTCCTGCAGCACAGGAAGTCATGATTAGCACTAAACTTTCTTACTGTCCTACTAATGGCAGTCCTAATATTTTAAGCCTCAATTCAGAAAGATGCTTAAACTACTGGGACACTTTGAACATGTGTTGATGTTTCCTTGACTTGAATAACACTTAAAATCAGTCTGCATTTACAGAGTAGGTGACCCTGCTGACTAAAGTGCCCTAAGCACCCCATTCTCCCCAAACACATCCTCATTCCTATTGGGGAATGTGGGACCACCTAAGCACGTGTGGCTGCACCATGAGCCAGACCCAGGTATTGCTCCAGCCAAAACACCACTTTTTTGCTGCGTTCTTTTTCAGCTGGACCAGTTCCCTGACCTGCTTGGCTGTGTGCTGGCACAACAGAGGGGGCAGCAACTGATTTTAAAACAGCCCTGTTGCCCAATGGAATACACACCAAGCCTTTCTCGATTACAGGCAATTTCTGAATTGAGGTCTCTAGTTTCCTAAGATCTGTTGAACTGTTTACTTTCCTCCCAGCATCTAAGTGTTTGTTCAAATGGCAAAAGATGCTGAGCAACTTTCTATGTACTTTAACAAACCAAATGCTGACCCAAGAAACACAAGGTTCACTCAGAGATTTAGCCACTAAAGATATTATTCCACCCTGCTGTCCTTTGGGAACATACGCTAATAAAAATTCAGAATATCCTGAAAAAACAATCGTTATTTAAGAAGGGTCTCTTAAAAGTTTTTCAAATTTGTGTCATAAATTATTATCAGCAACTGGATTCTGACTATTTTTCAAGCTGGTATGCATCTCTAGAGAGGATTCATTTGGGGGTGAAATAAAAATCTAAGATTGAAATGTTCAAAGCAGTGTGATAACAGCAGTCATATGACTAAATTAGCATCTAATGAGACTCAAATAGCTAAGTCCTCAGGCACTGCTTTGAAAACTTATTATTTTCTTATCTTTATGCTCTGAAAGGAATACTTCAGCAGAATTACAAGGTGTGAAGGAAAAACAAAAAGGCTTATAAAAAAGAATATACAAGGCTGAAAAGCATGCATATAGATCTCCAGCTCCACTGAGTTAACTTGATAGAGTTCCTAACTGAACTTTCAGTCTCATCACAATAAAGTGTTATAAACACAAAACATATGCAAAAACCAAAGGTTATGGATAAACTGGCAGCAACTGGGATTGAATTGGGCAACCCAATGATACTGCTTACCCTGTGTTAAATACTTTATTACTTCTTTCCAGTTTAAAATTGGTTACTTTAATTCCCAATAAATTACTACACCCAGCAGTTTGTGTGACTCCATTCAAGAGCACATACATACAACACAGGATTAAGGTCAGTATTCTACCCATCATATTTAACTTACCAACTTTTGCTGGTAACAAAATAACTGGTATTCCCCAGGAAGGAAAAAAAAAATCTCATTAAAATAGTAGTAGTTATTTCCATAATGGGACTAGGGAAATGGTTCCCATAATGATATCACATTGTTTGAAACCCATTTTGTTTGTGGAAGGTACATATGCACTGACATTCCATGAAAGGAAATACCAATAGCCGTAAGTCCTTTAGGTGTTTTTAGATGCGAATTTGCAAATCCTACGAACATCTTTCTGCCAACGTTAATGGAACACAGACATTCAGTTTTGTTATTCATGACAGATAACTCTTTACACACTCAGTTTCACACAAGTTAGTGGCAATAATATCATTGATTTCACTGGGAGAAACAGCTAAGATACATCTGTTTTGCGTGAGCCAGTAGGTAAGTCCATTCAGGAAAAAGGATAAGCGATTCAACACATGTGATCATATTTTGATAATTTCCCTCTTCCTCTCTGCTATGAGATTTTTTTTTCCCTAATGCAAAGCCTTTGTTTAGGAACAAAACAAGCACAGGCAGAAACTTCTTCTCAGAATGCTGATTTACCAGCCACTCACATAAACAGGATACCTAGTACACAGCAGTTAAAAATATACACACTAAACCATATATTTAGTTACCTTTATTCTGTCAATGAACTGGTATTTTGTAATCATCATTTCTTGCAACTGGCAAAAGTCTGCATTCATTTCTACTCCATACAGTTGGGATGCTGAGCTATAAAGATAACCCTACATTAGGAAAAGGAAATTTAGTAACTGTGAGGCCTTTAAAACAAGTTCAAAAATTTCAATTAAAATGGAAAAAATAAAACACAGGTTAAGATTAATAAAGCATTTTAAAACAGCAAATTGAAAAACATCTTTCAGTGGACGTGACATGTTTTTCAGAGCTAAGCCCCTGATTTGGCAATTCCCACTTACGTCTCCCGAATTTTAATAAAGAGATCCAAAATGACACGTCAAAATAGTAAAAAGAAAAGGAAAGCTCCAACTTCACTTCAGTTGCAAAATAGAAAAAAAATGGTCTAAGAAGGAAAAAACCAGTACAAACCAAGTTACAAAAATAGTGTGAAAGGAAAAGACTCTGCACATTTTTGTTTCTTGGGAGAATGGAAGAAGAAAATAGCAAGAGAAAAAAAACAAACAAACCATGAGACAGACACATAGTCAAAGTGAGTGAAAATGGAGGACAATGTACCAGTAATATAATGGGATATTTTGGTACAGAGTCTTTGTCAGCACCTCTAAGTATTGTAATACTGCCATTTTCAGGTGCTTCATATAGGTACATATGAAAAAAGATAAATTATCCCTTAATAATAAGCCCCAAATAATGGTTCCGTTTCAGACAGACTTTGGAAAGTTGTTGGAGATGTTAAGCAAAAAAAAAGTACAAATCCTTGAGCCTACAGGGCCCTAATAAAGATACTGCTTTAAGTGCCATTGTCTCCACTGAACACCATAATTACACTTTTCCAACAATGGCAAAGGCAAACAACCAATGCTGAAGATACAGATTATCTGAGATATCTATGTACTACAATCTAATTATTCAAGTTTTCTGAAACCATTCAACTCAGAGAGCAGAAAAGCAACCTGTGAAGCTGAAGTCACCCCTCCTCCAATACAAGCCAAGAACATGATTAAAAAGGAGAACTCTTTCTTTAAAACGTTTCCCCTGCTTTATCTTGAGACTATCTTCTACTACAAGAATACAAGCATTTAAGTACTTTAAAACAAATTCACGCTAGCAAAAGTGTTACCATTTAAGGACCCAATGCTGCAAATATTTACAAATGGGAGTAACTTTCCTCATTTGAGTAGTCCCAAAATTAGATTATTCAGATGAGTAAAATTACATGCTCCAGCGTTTCCAAGACTGAGCCCTAAACAGCCATTGACTTTTGTAAGAAAGTTGTAATGTGTGTTTTGCATTGCTGTTGGCCATATGTTGCACCAGCCATGCCAAAAGCAATCAAAATTGCACTCAAGTTTCTCGATGAAGTATTTTATGTGCATTTTAAAACGCAGAGCAGGACAATATGTTTTTGGAGACAAATTCGTATCAAAGTCTTCCTTTGTATAATTTCACAGTTTTTCAGCTTCATAAAGGAATTTAACATAACTAATCTATATATAGACATGGTCAAGACATAGAGGACAAACTTACGAAAGAGACAGAGAGCAGGAACTAGCAAAAGAGCAGCATGTGTGACAGCAATATGCTACTCTGTTGGACAACAGACTTTTCCTCTCCATACGCAAGGTCATTTGTATTCCCTCTTGTGAGGAACAGAACAAGAACTGAAATCGCTAGTAAACAGCACCTTAAACTGTTCAGAGAGTCAGATCAGAGGTGCCTCTCAGAATGGCCCGTCCAAGATAGAGTAACGAGAGTAGGCAGTCAGAGAAGAGGGAAAATGTTTGTCACAGTAATAAAATATGAATTCCTGTGCTGGAAGTTACCGCAAATAGCACTGCACCAAGCCTGGAGCCAACGTCAACCACTACCTTTCCTGTCAGGTCAGGCAGTACATGTTGATAAAGAAACTTCAGTTCCATGAGGGAAAAGGAATGCGAAATAAACTCTGGGAAATAAGAACAGAACAAAGGTGTTGGGTGGGCAGTACTACCTACTGTGTTATTAACCAATGAAATATTAATCTGAAGAGTTATCATCACTGAAAACCTGTATGGTTTCCTGCCTGAACTAGTGTTGGGGACCCTGGAAAACCAGGGTTTGCAGATCAGAGGTAGCCTGGCCAGCAGTCTGTCCCGAGCCTGGGGATTCCTTCCCTTACATGGAGAATTTTGAAATCCTTCATGAAACTGAATTACCTTTTTCTGCACAGTGACATATACTAAAGAATACAAACCAAAGTAATTTGGAATTGTTTAAGTGAAAAAGGAAACATGGCACCTAAGGCTCAACACGATTCATGCAAACCTTTTTATGGGCAGACATATTAATAGCTTGAATTTCAACTCCAAGGTTTTAAGGAACGGAATGTTCTCCATATAAACCATTCCTCCTTCAATGCCTGCGCTATACTGGTGACAGCACTGATCTGTACCACACCACACACAAGCTTTAAGACAGACGGTGCTTTCTACTGCTTTTCAGCATGTGAGAGGAGACTGAGGCTACTGCATGGACTCCTACAGTATTGTCTTCCTCTTGCATCTTCCTTTTCAGTGGTACATAGCCCTGCCTCTTCCCTGCCCAGTTTTTGTGGGCAACTAGTGTCACTCATACACTGCAAATTAATTCAACTTACGTGTGTAGGAGTCTCCTTCCATTGGTTATGGGAAATAATTCTGGCCTGTGTACTGCACCAGTCTGGACAAAGTCCTCCATCAGCTGGATGTTGTGCTGTCCAGCTGAGTCAGTGCGCAAACCAGTTTAGTTAAACTGAATTTGTTTCTCATGTTCCCAAAAGAGCACTTACCTAAGGATGCAGTCTTGTATGAGCCACACTCTGTGCAGTAGCTCCTACTCATTTTCCCCTCCTCGCACAATGAATCAACAAAATCATCATCATAAAGGAATGCATCAACATGAATCATGGGCAGTGGATGCTGGTGTATCTGAGAAGAGGAACAAAACCTAAGAAAGGCAGAACCAAGTCTCTTAATTTCACTTACACTGTTACACAGTTAATTGTGCCACCTTTCCCAAAATCACCGAGATCCAAGTTTTTCCCTACTCAAAAGTTACAAATCAAAATTAAACCATACAAATCCCGCATGTAAACTGGATCATCAAATTCCAGTGAAATAACCAGTAAGTGGAAGTCAACAAAGGAAAGCAAGCTGGTTTCAATAGCTGAGTAGGGGACCTGCTGTGAATTTTGTCTCCTTAGTGCTTGCTTGGCTATAGAGGAGGTACAGGGTAAAGGAAGCTTTTTCTCTTCCACTTTAATGAGGAGAATGTAACTTAAGTTTAGGAGAAAGGGTAATTTTGATTCTCAGCTTCAACTGTCTGAATGTTTTCATCTTCATGCCTTATGCCTCAATCTAGAAACACCCCAGATTAACACGGGTGTCATTTTCAATCAAAAGCATACCAGTTGGGATGCTTGCCTTCTCAGCATTTCAAGGGGTACAATCTTCATCCTCCTACTCCTCTTTCCTCCCTCTCCCAGGCTTGATGTATGGGGCCAATCCACCAATCCACTCTTCCCATTTAAGAGCCACACACGACTTCTCTGGGAAATGTGTTAGCTTTCCACCTATACTGACAGCTCAAGTAGAAAAGGTGCTCTCCCCTCCCACAGGACTCACAGCCCACCTCTTTCTGAGCCATCAGAATCTGAAAAGAGCTGGAAATCATTTCTGGGCTGCCCACATTATGGCAACAGCAAAACACTGGCCCTGTATTTCTGTTTTCTTTAAGGGGGCTGTTAAGAGTCTATTATGGAGCTAGCATTAAAGAATCACTGTGACAGGTGCCATACCACACAGAATGAAAGCTATGCCAAACAACTTATGATCAAAGTATTAAGAACTATGAAGCAACTTTCTTGGGGTCACACAATCATGCAGCAACAGACCTGAGAACCAAACTGAGATTACCTATACCTCAATCCCATGCCCATTCTCTATTATGAACTACTACTAAAACTGAAATCAGCATAGTCCCCAAATAAATGATGTGGTTCAGCAAAAGGAGACCATAACAATTAGCTTACTTTCTGAATAGCTTGATGTTCCGAATTAAACATCGCCTCGATGGGTAAACGATTCCGCAAATCTTCAGCAATATTTTTGAGCACAACATCATTGTTACTCACCACAAGCTCATCAAAGTCATCTATAAATCAAGACAAAAAAACAAAACAAAACAAAACAAAACCTGAACAATCATATGTAGATCATGTGGACTAAGTGGTGACCAGTATAATACAGTTGCAAGACATAAACAATACCAGATGGATAAGGTTTTTATTTGAAATGCATTTTTCAGGCTTTGTTAGCTTTTCCAGCCAATGACAGATTTGGATTGTAATAACTTTGCCACTTAAAATAAACGTAGTGCTTTTTTGAAATCTCAAATTATTTTCATATTTATAAACTTATAACTCACATATGATGGTCTGGGCTGCCACCAAAGTGATACTGTTTCAGCTTAAGATATAAAAACATCAAAGATGTTTTTGAACTATTGGAGAAATTACAAAACTCATAGTTGCCTGAATGCCGGCTTTTTTTTTTATACAAGTTTCTCTTTATACATACCATCTTTCTAATAAAGTGGTTACAAAAAAATCAGGGATAATGCACAGTTCAACAGTTCAACTCACAATACGTTTTACATGACTTAAACTATCGAAATATTTCAAATGTGAAAGAAAATAGGAATGGATGTAAACCAGTACATTTTTGCAAAGCCACACTGTAAATCTTGCTATTTTTCCAGGATATCTCTGCATTACTTTAACACTTCTTTTTTTTAAGACGTCTAGAAAAAAGATCGAGAGGGAACCTTGGGAAGTCACCAATCCTTTCTTCTTCCAAGTCTGAAATCAATAATAACTGTCACTACTTCTCCAAACCATTCTTTTAAAAAATATTGTTAATGCTGGAGACTCTACAACCTCCCTTAGCAATCTATTCCAGTGCTTGACTACACTTACTATTAGAAAGGAATACTTCTCTTAATAACTGATCTAGATTTCCTCTGCCACAATTTAAACTCAGTACTCTCTGTCACTCACAATGGAAATAACAGAAAAGTTTGTTCCTCTCCTGTATATAGCAACTTTTTATTTCTTTAAAGACTTATGCGTCCCACCAGTCTTCTTTTCTAGAAGAAACAAGATCCACTTATCCAACCCTTTTCTGCATTCTTTCTAGGAGTCTGATCATTCTCATCACTCCCCTTTGGATCTTCTGGACTCTCTCATCCTTTCTGACCTGCAGTACTGAGAACTAGACACATTACTCCAGCTAAAGGTTTATTTGCACCAACCAGACTTTTCACATCTTGCAGCCAACATCCTGCTCACACACCCCAGTTTCATGTTAGCCCTATTCCTAACTGACATTCAGCATGAGATCTGCTGTACGCCTGTACTCTGTTCCTTTTCTGTTATGTTTTCCCCAAAAGGACTGGATGAAATTTCTTTTTGTCTGGACATGTCACTGCTCCGAGGGCACCGAACGGGTTCTAAACAAAGGCACATCTCAGGTCAAAACTACACACCCCTGAAAGAAACAAAAACCACACAACAAAAAGCAACCACAAACCTAATCCTGAAAAAAATACCAAACCCATCTATTGATTCTTGTCTAAAAATAGACGTTTGCGCTCTCTTCCCCATCCTTTCTGGTTTGTTTCTTGTTCTATTTAGACAGCCACCATGTTGGGCAGGGAGTGTGGTTTTTACATATATCACCCACCAAAAAAAGATCTGACAGCTTTAGAGGTGTTTAAAAAAAGTGAGTATTTGTTAGCACTGCTGTCCCAGGTGGGAACATTAGTATAGACAAGCTTGATGGCAAGCAGGTTCAAAATAAATCTATAAAACCTGCTACAAGTTTCTCTATGCTAATATACCTAATCTCTCCTGTGGAACACAGGCAATGCTAGAAACAGTGAGAAGTTTTAAGGCTACTATAAGAAACACAGACCAGCTAAACTTTTAACTATGAAATGCTTCTGAAATGCTTTTTGCTTAAGCACTGTCGTGAGAACAATATGATTAAAGAAACCCTCATTCTTTATTGCAAGACACTCTCTTCTTAGAGTGTAAATGTAAATGGTTCTTTCAACACGTCCCAAAAGTGACTCCAACAGATAATCCTGAATCCTCCAGAGTAAGCAGCAGAAACTTTAAATCATCCGGATTTCCTTAACATATATTTGGTTTATTATTTATTAAATGTATAGCAGTAATGCTCCAAGGCCCTGATGGGCACAATACCATTGATAGTTGTTACACAATAGGAAGACAATTTGCTGTTCCAAAGAGCTCACAGTTAAGTTCTCCAGAACCTCAGCTCCTAAAGAGATGCAGACTTTGCACTGAGGAACACAGGAGTGATAGAGGCGGCAGCTGCAACAGCAGCAGCACGAACAGCACAACAGGTGCAATGCAGCAACTCCAGCTTGTCAGCATTTTAATTTGAAACCTCTAATGAGCACCCATCTCCTGTTAACCTCACAGTCCATCCAACAACTTGCAGATTTGTTAAGAACATCCCAGAAGCAGTGAGTGATTCTTCTGGTCAGCTCAGGGAGGATTTCTATGGATGTGACACAGCACAGAAGTAAACGCAGAGATTATGGGAAGGGAAAGCGGACAGATTTAACTGGTGCTTAACTGGGACTGTCAGCACCATGACAGGCCCTCAGAGTGCAAAGGAGCCACAGTTTGCTGAGGTGGATAACATCTGAGGAAGCAAGAAGGGGGAAAATCGTGCTACAGACAGAACGAGAGAGTAGAAAGCTGATATTAGCAGCTGTACAGACCAGTGCCTGTGGGCAATAAGCCCCTACATCTGGCACATGCTTTAAAACAATACTATTACTATGCAAGAGAGCTCATCCAGCTGTTATACTGCCTGTTAAGAGTATCAAATTCATATATAGCATTTAATGAAATGCAGGAAATGTTCATAGACCACCAGGCCAGCCACATCACACTGCAAATGCAGAACTTCAGCTCTCTTTCTCCCGGAGCTGGTGCGTCAATAGGATCTGCTCCTTCATGGCCTGAGTGACCTTTTCTGGCCAACATTAGCGGTGCACAGCTCTCCAGGCTATTCAGTGCCCCAGCTCTACAGTAGAGAAATGGATACATTCAGTAGGAGATAGGTAGCACACCTATCTTCCTCAAATCCAGAATACCCCTTCCCTGCCTTCACTTCCATTTGTACAAGCCTTGTCACTACACTGACCATCTTACATGGGGCCCTCAGCTCTTCTTACAAAACAAAGTATGACACGCAAGAGTTCTTGTGGATTTTCTGTATGAAACAGGTCCTAAGGAAAAATCTTACAACACATATGCAGCTCAAACGAAAAACTGTTGAAACGTTGATACTGAAAAACACATGACGAATGGAAATGCTCCTTCCCAACTATCAGTTAATACTGTAAAGCATAAGCATGCAGGGACAAAAAAAGAGGAGGAGGTTTGAACACACTCCTTCCGAGATGACAAAATGGCAGCTTCGGGAGAAGCTGCGCATGCAACACTGCACTTGCGTGTATGGTCTGCGACTGAACTCAGACACCGAGAGTCGCCTCATTCCTGTCAAAGCAAGAAACAGCAACAGCTACCACAATAACTCATTTACTTTTGCAGTATGTAAATATTTATAGATTGCCATCAAGTACAGAACACAGGTGCCAAATATGAAAATATGCATTTCTGCCTCTGCTGGTACAGTTTTATCAACTCCACCCTTGTGTTCAACAAATTGTTCGCTCTTGAGAATCTCAGTATCACCTTACAAGGGATCTTCAAAGAAGAAACAAAAATAGAAAACTATTTTTTATATCGTTTTAGTGCCTGTTACATATATATGAAATGGAGAGTGTGCAAGCCAACCCCTGTGTTCACCAAACAGACAACTAACCAGGAAAGAACCGTACAGTTCATGAAATACTGCAAGATGAATCACAATCATTTGTTTATGGAGGAAGTCTGAGTGCATAGTGTTTGTATTTTACTTCAAAAACCGGTTCCACTGGATCTACTCAACACGCATTTATAAAATTTAATTAACACATTGCAAAAAGCCTAATTAACACCCTGGTGCTGCTCAGCCTTTCTACAGCAAATATAACACAAGCTAAGAAAACATCACAAAGCTTCACACCAGGTATAGAGCACCGCTATAGCAACATCTAAACATCCTGGCACTGCAAAATACATGATTGAAGACAAGCAATGTATGATTTCCAAATGACAACAGATTACATGTCACGTGGGAAGATGAGGATTTAGCAAAGGCAACCATAACAGCAAGGACCTTATGGTCTTCTAGATATATATTCAGACTCACAGAAGTAAAAAGCAAATATTAACATCCATGTTACTTAATATGAGGTTAATTTAATCATTCAGTCTGTTTTAATGATACCGAACAAACAGGTCAAGGAGGAAGTCCCACATCTCTAAAACCTTACTATCTCCTTTTTTGGCTAAACAGTTTGAGAAGCAATCTGTGACCTCAGTATACCAGCTTCTTCAGGAACTCTGAATACTATTTCTATCCTTAAGCATGCTTTGCTATTGGTAGAAAGTAATCAGCTTTTTCCAATAGGAATATAACCAGAGCTTATTTCATTAGTTCTTCAAGTCTTTCACATTCATAAATTGAAAGAAGCTTCGAAGTTAAATTTTAAACAAGGGAAGTCATATACCTATTTTACAATCACTAGTTTTCCCCACCATTATTAAGTTTCAGTGACTAACAACCTAGAAGTACTTGGTATTCTTGAGACCTCTCTCGCAGCGGTATCATTTGTCACAACTAAGGAAATTAATGCCAATTCCCAAAGTTGGTGATTCATCAAATTAGAGGTAACATCCCAATTTAGTTTACCAAACAACAGACTAGCAAAAAAGATTTTTGGTATGGCGTAATTTTAACAAAGAAAGAAATACATTCCAGTTAATGTGGCTCTGCAATGCTATTTTGATCTCTTCTGAAAGGATATTTTACTTGGATAAATTACTTCTACCAATCTGGATAAGAAGCCTGGACCTAAATTGCTTTTTCACACACACACAAAAATTACACACTATACTGGTTACATTGCAAAAACCCATGCTTTCATCCTTTTAAAGACTCATTCCA